AAAACTCAACCGATATATAGCAGGTGCAAAAAAAAAAACTCAACTGCTATATAGCTGTTGAGTTTTTTTCCTATATGAATCAATGAAAAAAACTACACTGCTATATATCAATACAGTTTTCAAATGCACATTGAAGAGCACTGAGTATAATGGGTTAGTAAGAACAAAAAAAAAAAGTTCAAACCATGCGATTAGAAAAGGTCAATTTAGAAATATCTTTGGTCGTTTAATTCACGTGCAACTTCGTGAATTCACAGTTTCAACATTGCAAATTCAACTTAATGAAATCACGATTTCAACTTCATGAATTCTCGATTTTAAACTATGAATTCACATGAGCTCGAAACTGTGAAAATGCTTTAGCGGATATTATGAATTTTGTAACATTAAAATCATGAATTCATTAATTAAATATAACCCCATCTGATTCGGTCTTGGTAAAAGCTTGACATTTCTGAAAATGACATGACATATGACGCATGGTGAGGCTGAGTGCATGTTTAACATGCGGAATCTGAATGATTTATTTTTCACATTTATAAAATCTCCTAAAAGTAGATAAACATTCGACCAATAAAAAGATATACTGAGTCCTAAAACATTTACACTTCTCTACGCCATTACAAGAGATGGATGTAATGCTACAACGTTCCATCAGAAATGTGACAACCAGGGACCTACAGTCACAGTGCTGTATAATCAACAAGGATCGGTGTATGGAGGTTATACCTCTGTTACATGGCAAGCATCAGGTAGTTATAGTAATGATCAGAACGCATTCCTGTACCAGTTACACTACAGCAAAGCACCAACATATATGAAATTTCAACGAAATGGTAATGGAAATGAAATTTATAGATCTTCAAGTTACGGTCCAACATTTGGCAGTGGACACGATCTTTATACCTTCAATGGAACTGTCAACAATTCTGGAGGTTATTTTACTCTGAATGGGCAAATGCGTATCGGGAGTAGCTACAATAACCAGGGGAAGAATACTAACCAAATCAACAATGGAAACATGAATGTCACAGAACTCGAGGTCTATAAAGTAGCTGGTAAGTTTTAACAAAGTAGATTTTTGTTGTAGTTCTGGTTGTTTTGTATGTTTGTTTTGTTGTTTTTTTTGTTCTTTTTTTTTCAAAAAGGTGAGGTTCAAGAATAATGTATGTAATGATTGTCAACTGGTACCGCTGAATTCATGTAACGTCACATATTATTTATTCAAAAAATGGTTGACATAAAGCAACTGCGACGTGAAATAAATAGCATGACAACAAAATATACCCATCGAGCGCACTGTATGAATTTTGCACGCAGCAGATCTATTTACTGCAAGGCTTTACAGAAATACAAAATTTATCATTTTAATTTTGGTTAACTAACTAAGTCAATTTTTCATATATATATATATGTGTATCTTATAGCCATAACTGTTTATATATAACTCTTTGCATATTTAAACATCAAGGTGATTATTCAATATATGGAAGCCTTAGAATAAAAATATGTTTTGTAAGGCTGCTTGTTAATAATATATCATGAAATGTTTCTTGAAATACAGTTTAATAGAGAGTTCTCTTTTTAATTTAGATGGTCAAAGGAAAGAGATTGAAGAAGCAGAGCCTTGGCGTAAATCGAAAAGCTGGAATGAAAAGGTACATGTTTATAAATATGTGTGTCTAAACGGTATAACGCAATTACATCACTGAGTACGTGATGACTTTGGGTGTCCGTGGCCGAGTGGTTAAGGTCTTTGATTTCAAACCACTTGCCCCTCACCGCTGTGAGTTCGAAGCCCGACAAGGACTTTGGATTCCTTCATGTGAGGAAGCTATCCAGCTAGCTTACGGAACGTCGGTGGTTCTACTCAGGTGCCCGTTCGTGCCTGAAATAATGCACGGAAGGGCACCTGAGGTCTTCCTCCACCAGTAAAGCTGGAACGTCGGAGTGACGTAAAACCCAATCAAACAAACGTGATGACTTGGTGAATAGCTATTATATCGCTGAGTAACTGGGAAATCCTATAATTGCAAATGGGCTTGAGGAAGTTTATTTCAGTTAAACTAAGAAGACATAAATCTTATAAACAGCATAAGTTAAGCCTATAGTATATTTATCTGTGAATCATTATAGAAAATTTTATCAAGTAGACTGTCGTTGATTGTAGGATAAAGGAACGAAGCGTATGCATTATCTTATTTACGAGCGTACAAATAAGATGCCAGGTTTTTCCTTCTATATACTCTTTTCGAACCGGGAACAAGTGGTGACTAGACATTAAGAGCATCGCATCATGTCTCTTTTAAGAATGTAAAGTCCAATGATATGTTGCTGCCCCACGATAAGGCGATATCGCCGCTATGTTTGTAATACCTAGGAGGAAACACAGTGCGAAAACTGCAGACACTTAAAACAGTGTCAGACTCATACTAAAGCACTCTACTAACGGTTTGAAAGTCAATAGGACTATAATAGAGGTGACGTTTACAATTAATTTCTTGAGGTCACAAAATAGAAAGTCTTGGCCGAAAGATAATATTTTTTTTAAAAATAATGCTAATGACACTGCACTATATGGTACGAGAGTATAAGGAATTCCAATAAACTGTTATCTTAATTAAATTACACAATTAATACGTTAGTAAGATATATTTAAAATGTACTTTAAGTGATAAATAGCATACAACAATATGTACCACCAAAATCTGTTTTTGATTTGCAGGTTTTTATATTAATACCAGATTGAGTTTTTCGTTTCAATTAATCTCAGTTTTTTCGTATTGTAAGATTTTGGAATACTTTTAATTCAGCGAAAGCGGCCTTGCTCAAAAATCTATTATTTAACAGATGCAATCATTTTATTTTAAAGTTTCACCTTGAATATGCAAAGTTATTTATGTGTTGACTATTTCAAATTTTAATATAAATAGTAATTAAAATAATGGTGTATTTTTGTAGTTCCTAGATGAGCTAACAGAAGATGTAGTGTCCTTTAAACCTTTTCCGGATTTGGACATCTCCGAGGCTCGAATCTTGATGATCGGCCCAGTTGGAGCCGGCAAGTCGAGTTTCTATAACACTATCAACTCCATATGCAGAGGTCATATTACACAGAGGGCAGGCAGTGGAAGCGCGGAACAAAGTTTAACGACCGCAGTAGATAAAAAAATTAATTCTGTTATTTAAACCATTAGTACACTTAAGGACAAAAACCACAGCGGATATACAGTATCTATTTTAGCAAAATATATGTACAGAATAATACAAAATGTACTTCCCTAAGTGTATAATATTATGTGGCATTTTCTTAGTTTAAACATATCTTATTGATAATAATACACAGTACATAATATACATCCATTTAATATTTAAAACGTTGAAATAAATTAGAACGAAAGATATGAAATCTTATATAAGTTCTTTCTTGTTTCGTAATTATTATCAATTTGCTTCAAATACATTTGTCATTACACATTTTTGTGTTGATACTTGCTAAAATGTCAAAATTGATATTTTATATTTTAAATTAAAACAAGTATATATATCTGAACCATTAACTCAATATATCTTTCTGATGTACTACAGTACACTCCTTATTTTGTGCGAGTTCGAACCGGGGCTAATTTGAACTTCAAACTGTGTGACACACGTGGGTTAGAAGAATCGCAGGGTCTAGATGTTCTTGAATGTAACTGCCTACTGGAAGGAAATGTACCTGAATATTATCAGGTAATTTTACTAGAGAAAACTGTACTATCACAATGTATGCTCAGTCAACACGTGTTCGCAAGTATCACAGAACATATTTTTGATTTACTTTTCTATTTATATGAAATGTGAATAACTTTGACATATCCGGTATTTCAGTATTTAAGGTTTGTATTTCTGATGGTCGGATTATAAGTGCAATATATTTTATCAGTATCATTGATAATTTCAAATTCTTGATTCTCTTATCAGTTTTTACTTTCTCGTTAAATAAATACTACATTTAAATGTGTAAACGATATAAACTAAAACACAAGCTACCAAGGAAATGGTTAGGGTTTTTATTGTTCATTGCTTACTTTTGGAGAAATTTAAATAATAAACTTTTCATATTCGTGGGAATAATATGACTTTGACTATGCTTACCAGCAGCGGCGCGGCCGATAATTTATCGCGTCGGATTAGTAATCTAAGTAATGGTGGCTGCGTGGGTTCAAACCCCGTTGTTTCCATGAGCCAGAGACTTTATACTAATTGGTAGGTTCCAGGAACGGATTCGGGAGTGTTGCAATACGCTTATAACTTCAAACACAGTCGAACTAAAGAAATAAAATTAAATTTAATATACATGTTCCCATCACGCATTATTTTAGTGAAACTTTTTAAATTGCAGTTCAATCCAGGGGCGCCCATATCCGCAGACCACGACGGTTACATATCCAAACCAACTCTTGAAGATAAAGTGCATTGTGTGGTATTTGTTCTAGATTCTACTACACTTGATGTTCTGCCAGCCAAAATTCTACAAAAAATGAAAAGTTTCCAAACGCTTATGAACAAAAAAGGTATTATATTTGCTACAGGGATTAATGATTTTTCTCTGTAAAATCTGTGTTTGGTCATCAAACGGAATAGATTTAAAATTGAGTAAAAATTTGTTTTGGTTACCTTTATTAAAGTGATTGAAATAATCTGACACTAGTTGTCATTTGTTATTAACCTTTATGAAACTCGTCCGACAAGAATGTTATCAAGCCCGACAACGACTCACTTAAAAGCATCTACTAGAACTAATGTTTTCAATTAACGTTATGGTTACGGTATAAATATTTCTTACATGGAATACCAGGTACCGAAAACGCATGATTAAACATTTGCTAAAAGCTTTGTTGAAAAAAATACAGTAACAGTACTTTTACGAAAGCCATGCACACTTGTTAATGGTTGCCGCTTTATTTCTATGTTTGTTATCTGACAAACAAAGATGCTCTTAAATACTGAAAATATTCTTATGAAAATAAAATTTTTATTGTCAGGTATTCCACAGGCACTTCTACTCACCAAAGTAGACAGGCTTTGTAAAGATGTAGAAAAAGATGTATCTCAAGTCTTCAAAAGTAAAACAGTTGAAAATCATGTTAAGAATGCGTCTCAGCTATTTGGTCTACCACGTGGTAATGTACTTCCGGTGAAAAACTACGAAAACGAGATGCAGCTTGAAGATAACATCAGTATCTTGGCGCTCATTTCTATGCGGCAGATTTTACACTTCGCGGGAGATTATATGGAAAATATTGCCGACAAAATGGCTGCTACTCAACGAAAAATGGAGAAAATGAAAGTGTAAAAGTAAATCATTTTGGGATGATGTGATTATAACAAGTACAGGACTTAAATCTTTACATACGCCATTTTGTAAACGTATGCATGTGAAGGTTCATATCTTGCTCTCTGTTAGTTTTAATTGAATTAAAAGAAAGGATTATATTTTAATAATGTTATTATATCTAAAGTTAGTGAGTTCAGCCTAGTGACTTTAAAAAAATACTTAACATATTGTCAATATTTATAACTTTTTGGTTTGTATAACAAGTATATCCTAGTGTAGTTCTCTTTATTTCTAAAATGTTTAATTTGCTTCTGAAGTATACATTGTACTGTACTAATATTTTGTATGAATAAAGATTAACCAATTATACCGAATTTCAATTTTAGTAGCATAGTTGGAAAAATCACATATTTTAGCAACAAACTGACCATACTTTCAGTGTAAAAAATAATGTGCATGCTTTGCAAAATTTAACATTTCACTAAACTTTAAAGTGGACATTGAACAAGTTTCACATTGATGTCCGTTATGATGTCCTTAACATGAAAATGTTATTAGTGGTCCCGGTCTGATGCACAATCAGAGTAAAACAGCAATGTCCACAGCTTAGATATATACATTGGTAATATGAAGCAGCGTCTTTAACAAGTTACTTAAATCATGCTTCCATGTATGCAGGTTCAAAATTGTCGCCTCCTTGGGATCATTTAGTTCACATAGACTTAAATAGGAAGCGTATCTAAATTCTTATCTATTTCTCCGATATTACTTGTCTGATAGCTTAGATATTTGGCATGCAGTATTGCTTAATGGATATCTACAAACATTGTATAAACCATGCCTCTGGTGTCAGATATGACCTGCCGGACAAGCATAACATCTAGAAAATTCGGAGTCGTTTGAGATGGACGACACCGTTCTGCGATTTACACGTGCAGTGCCAATACAGAACGCATATTTACCTTCTTGGCATTGAGATCCCCATCATTTTATCAGTGTAGACGGGCTTACACAAATAAGCACCACAATACAATCTAGGCATTGGATGCACTCACAAGTATAGAATGATATTTCTTAACTATCTTCAATCATTTAGGCCTATAGGTTCAATGTCATGTTGATTATAAGCTATAATTACCGCCTAAAAACGACATACAAAATTGTTTAGTTAAAGCGACTGTGAATTTTAACAACTTGTCTAAATGTAATGAGTAACATTATGAAATGTTACGTTTCTGAAATGTGTTATGAAATTTCATACAATCTAGAAACTGAACTGACTCGGATGATCTAACTGACTTGGACGATCTAGTATTTCTAACAGTAAATAAATAAATATAAAAATATATGTCGTAAAATATATTACAAATTGGAAATTTGATACCATGTATATGTTCTTGAGCAAGCAGTTATGTCTTGTAGTCTTGCATTAATAGTATAAATAGAACTTGAGTAAAAACTGCAACATCCATGACTTGCGGTGTAACAAGTCTCAACTTTAAAATCACTGTCAGTTTGGCCTCAAAATGTAATTCACATACATGTACATTTTTTGTCTATAACCCGATATTTTTTACTTTTGGTACAGTTTGATATACGGTAGATCAAATTATTTGATGATTTATAACAAGACCTGTTTGCGGACAGTGTGCTCTAAGTCGGCGACCTTATCAACTAGGCAAAGATCGCCACCCATAAATATATCGCATTTATTTTAAATAAATTCAAGTGTAAGTGTTGATAACCAACAAATACAATTATATTTATATTATATGTTTGAAATTATACCTAAAAAACTAAACAAGTTATAAAGAAGTTCATAGTATTTGCCTGGAAGTGATGATAATGGTCACTTACAACTAACATTATTATTCAAAGCAATGCCTTAAAAGATTTAGGACATACGTGGGGTTGTACAAAAAACATAACCGGAATGCTAAGTAAACGAAAGTGACGACGACATGCACAATAAGAATATGTACTGGTCATTCCTGTTAAAATAAAATTGCACGAGTACATTCTGAGTAGTAGTCTGGGCAAGTTATGTGACGGATAGACAGACAGACCACAAAAAAGTGATCCCTATTAGTTGTGGCCACTCTGTATCATGTTTAGGCATCTGTGTTATTGGAAACACTAAATATCATTCACAGGCCAAAACTCATTTTTATTAAAATACCATGACTCCAGACACGTTTTGTGATGGACAGACAGGCGGACGGACGGACAGACTGATGACGGATGAGTGATACCTATATGTTGCCGCTACTCTGTAGCCGGCGTCACAAAAACTGTTGAAGCACGTTGTACTTTTATTTTGTTTTTATGATCATGTTTAGTGATTACAAGCACCATTCGTTCGAATGTATTGTACCACTCTTGCATTTTATCAAGATACATACAATTATAATATGTTCAAAAAATACAAATTTCTACTCTTCTTTGCATTCTACATTTCTGATTCTATTGTTATATTTTATCATTAAGATACATACAAAATGATAACAAATATTCTATTACAGTTAATATACATGTACTTTGATAACACGTCCTGCTGCCCAAGTGTATCATAAAACATATACATGTAGCAATATGAGAAATTGTATCAAAATTAACATTTAGAATATTGAAACTTTATAACAATGAATTGAAAAGGAATATCTTCAAATTAAATGTTTAAATGAACGCAATCAAAATATAGCAGCCATCATTACCTTTTCGTTCCAATCTCTAATTTTACACAAAGGCTCTAATTTTGTCATTTTCCTCAGACCATCTGAAAACAATTCATGCAACAACATTTAAACAAACAGGATACAATAGCTATGTCATGTTGTAAATACAAGAATGATTCTAATACAAAATTAAAACAGACATGTCAACATTTAAACTTATAGACTCCTGCAGCAGGATTTAAATTGATGCGTATTCATGATCATAGAGATAATAATACACGAACACAAGAGTAATAATAACACGTATATTTATAATACCTTAGCAGAACATAATTATGTTGTTTAACTGACAGATGAGAAAGACGGGATATAGTCAAATAGGCTTCACCAATATTAACAAAACAGTAGATCTACAATATATTGAACATTGAAGACCATATGTTTGTTGTATATCCAAGTTGGCAGTCATTGGGTTCCGTATTTTATGCTAAATTACTCCCTACTTATGATGTGCATGTTTGATTTACTATAATGTTGATGCATTTATTTTTATACCTTAAATGTTTAATGTCGTCTTGGTATAGGTAAGTGTTTAATAATACAATTGGTTTCGTGTTACAAAAGTTTTGCTTTTTGTGGGTTACTATCAAACATACGAATTCAATATCCACTAACGAAACCCACAGAAAAGTTTTTCATTTTAATGGATTTAGGAATGCAGATTATCCAAACTAGTTGATATTCAGATGTTGGTCAATTAACGGCACAAAGAAATAATTATGTAAACATTAATATTTTTCTGTACAAAGGGTATAAATTGTTAATTTAGTCTCTTTATGTAGAGTTTGAACCGCCATACTTGTGGCCAGAATGGCGCAGTCATTCGACCAATGCTTTCTCATAAACACTTATCAATTAAGTGTTTGAAATTATTTTTATAAAACTGTCTATTTACTAGACTTGTTAAATTTAAAAACGGGTTTTATAGGTGGTACTGGAGGGGCGAGGGTAGGTAGGTTGGGGTAGTATTCCGTGTCCATGATATTCTTTAACATTTAATTATGTGCCGTATTTTCTCCGTAGTATAATATTCCAGTTATAAATGTCCGCAGAAAACTGCGGCGCCAAAGCTTTAAACTTCAACAATTACATGTTTTTTGTCTGACTGGCCAAAAGTTCTGTCTCTTTCTTTATTAATATAAGAATAATTACTACCAAGGTTTCGATAATGAGCCAATGAGAAATTACCCTTAAACAAGAAAATATTAACCAATAAAAATACATTTTATCAAATATAAACTAGTATGTATGTATGAGGTATGAAAAAGAATAAAAGTTGGTTAGCCATTAAAACGTCGCACATTGAAATCTATGCTAATGCATCATTTATCAAATAAATGCGTGACGATTTTCATAAATATCTATTTTATCCATATAGTAAACCTTTAATCTACATAAGCATACTGATTTCCGAAAGGAAAGTACTCTATATTTTGTCGGTCGAGATCGAGATTGTAAGGGGGGGGGAGGGTCTGGACCCAGTTTTTGGTCACAAATTACCCTAATATAGAGTCCTGACACCATTACAACGACCCAATTACAACACCCTTTGCTGTTTTCAATTTCATTTGGGTGGGGTTATAATTTACCGGAAGTTATATTATGTGTATTGTTAAAATAGATTTTCAGAAAAATGCATTAGGGTCAACCGCACTGTAAGGATTGTGTTACCTGTATTCGTAAGTATGGGTGGTTATGGTATTCGTTATAGACAAGGTTCCTTAAAAACTTGCCGAAATAAGATTTAATAAAATTATATGAAATTTAAGATCCGTGCTTGTTATAATTAAGTGAAATTAAGGTATTAGGACCCTAATGGGCACTATCAGGAACTAAAGAATTGACATCATAGGTCAGATGTATACCTTAAAGTACACCTGTATGCAAAATTTAAACAAAGTTTACCGTACGGAAATCAAGTTATGGCCACTTTTCTGAACTCAAGCTAGGATGTTATGAGGGCCCTTTTTTAGAAATGAGGAACCTTTAAATAATCTGCAATAACATTCTAATGAAAAATGTTTTCCCATGAATTTTTGGTAAGAAACAAATAGTACCATTCAGCTAACAATCCACATAAGCAAAATTATGGTTTCTACTTAAAATTTATGAAATCTGTATAAAAATGTTACCCTACCCCACCCATTTTTACGACATGTCTGACCATTTTTCTACTTGGGGAACCTAATTAAAAAAATTCTTAAAATTTACCCAAATGAGTGCCTGTTTTCAAAGTTTCCCTAAATTTTTAAAAAAGTATATTGGTTGCTCTTGTAAAATATGAAATACTTTTACCCTCTAGTTTTGATTATATTACACTTTGAAAATATCAGGTACCATATTTATTACTAGATTTAGCATAATTTAGCCAATAAATACCTATAAAAATTAAAAATTAAACACTTTTTTCTTTCCATATGTGACATGAGAGATACATAAATAATGTTAAAAGAAAAAAAGAAAGAAAAAAAAAGTTGACCCTTCTGGGGATTGAACCCATGGCCCTCATTTTCAATGTAGTTAACAGTAATTCTAGCCTATTTGAATACTCTTCAAAGCGGAGGTAATGCATTAGGGTGCTAATACCTTAACAGAAGGTGTCTGTAGATTTTGTGCAAGTGAGTAGTTGGAATCTATATTCTCACTAACCAGATAGAAAAATCCGTAAATGTTGTTAAAAATAGCGGTGATGGAAAATCTTATCTCACATGGGCTTATCTCACACTCAACGTGCTGTACTTCTAAAAACGTTTTCCTACACATACGCGATTCACTCCTATTTTAACAAAAATAAAACGTCCAAAGGTCAAATTGTATTAAAAATATGTGAGCTATTCTATTAAATTGTCCACGGAATCAAAATAGATTGATATTAACTTTCACACTGCACCTAGGTCCGCCCTTTTCAATATCAATCTGTTACTTAAAATAGCCGCTTTAAAATATCGCAAAATTACTCGTAAAATCGAGTATTATGACACTTTGCCTGAAAAACATCCATGTTTTCTGTTATGATAACAATGCTTCTTGATGACGAATCTCATATTAATATTTTAATTGAATATTCGGCAAAAATAACCGAATAAGTAGAAAAATCTTTGTAAACGGTAAACGCTTTTTGTCAACCATTAAAGTATGAACTTAATTCATAATAATCACTTATATTATGACACTTTCCGACTTAAATATTGATGTGTTTTATCATGATTAACCTTGCTTTTATGAATTTATTTCATTGAATTTTTCTCACATAAACTTGGTCAGTAGAATTTTTTGCGGACAAACGTCAGGCGCATAAGCCCCGTACATGTAGCTTTTCAAACTAGGTACGATGTGATGCGCGTAGCAAGTAGTTTCACTGATATTAATTGTGAAAAATAATCAATCAGATAGGTTCTATTAATGTATGGACGCCCCCTTGTAAGATTTCTATTACTCCTTAAAAGCATGCTCAATATTTATTGATTTGCAGTAGTCAATACAGTGGTAAGTCTGTTTATGTGTTACACGCCAATTTTATAAAAGGTAAGTAAACCTCTTCTAAAGTCATCTTAATTTTAACCTTTTTGCTTGATTTTAAAAGATTGCTTGATAGTTTATAGCTTTACACATGATCATATAGATGTTAATTGTACAGCAGCTTTGTTTTGGGGGAACAATTTGTACACGCATTTCACATTTAGGCTGAAAGCGAAAGTACGTGTTTATTTAAAGAAGAATAAACTAAATCGAAAGTAAGTCAGAATTTGACTGTGTATCTGACAGGCATACGCATTTTCTTATTTCAATAAGATCTACAAAAACAGTCATATTTACCTATAAAAATATTTAGTGTTTGAAATTATATTTTTTTCAAAGAGCCAGCAATTACTTAAAAAAAGAACAAAAGCTAGGTGGTTGATACTTGGTATGTGGAAAGAGAATCAAGTGGAGATTATGATCATATTGTATTTTTATCTGTTCGTTTGTATGTCATTCTGTCCTTTCAAAAATGGTGATCTTGCCCAAAAACTTTAAAAAGTATAAGAACTCCTTGTTGAAAACCCCCGGTTTATAGAAAAGATCAGGTTCATTTGGAAATTTGCCCCTCCAATTTTTCAAACCATTTCCCCCTGTCTGCCAAATCTAAAATGTTTGAAAGAAAACTGGATCCTTCACAATTTCCTAGGCAAATACAAAATTCTAGGGTTGCGATACTTGGGGATGGGGGTTTTTAAAAGGGTCATATGGGGATTAGGCCCCAAAACTTTTTATTTTTTTTTTCACCCCGTTCGTCCGTTTTTTCCCCTTCTAAACCCCCCAAAAAAATTGGCCCATCCAGCAGAAACTCCAAAAAAAATGAAAAAAACCCAAAGGGTTTTATAAAATATTGTAGTTGATTTGAGGGACATCAGGGGCATTTTTAAATTTTGGTTTTTTCCCCGTTTAAAAATATATGTTGTATTTTTTCTTTCTTAAATTTAAAATAGATCCTTATCTAAAGTTTTGGGGTAAAGATTCCGACACCTAAAACGATATTAACCTCAGATCAAAAATGAATTTAATCTTACATGCGATTTGTTTACAGCGAAAATATGGGAGGAAAGTTAACAGACAAAGATATGGAACAGCTAGAACAATGGGATAGGGTACAGGTCCCTAAAACATGTTAACTTCTCTACGCTATTAACAAAAAGATGATGTAATGCTACAGGACGTTTTCATCAGAATATGTGACAACCAGGGACCTACAGTCACAGTGTTGTATAATCAACAAGGATCGGTGTATGGAGGTTATACAAGTTATACTTGGGAGGCAACAGACGGATACTACGATGATTTGAATGCATTCCTGTACCAATTACATTTTAATAAATCTCCAACAGCAAGGAAATTCCCTTCTAAAAACAATGGATACGGCATATATAAGAATGGTGGTTATGGGCCAACATTTGGAGGGAACCATAATGTATGCGCTTTTACTGGCACTGTCAATTATGCTGGTGACTACTTTGCTCTTAACGAACCTTCAATTATTGGTTATGGCTATGACACCCAGGGTGTCTATGGGAATCAGTACTATACCGGCAATATAAACTTTGATTTATGCGCATTTTCTGGCACTGTCAATAATTCTGGTGGCTTTTTTGCGCTTAACGGATCTTTAAGTATTGGTTACGGCTATGACGCCCAAGGTGTCAATGGAAACCAGATCAATAATGGCAATATGAACGTGGTTGAACTGGAAGTTTACAAAGTATCGGGTAAGTTTGAAAAAGATGTTATAAATTAAATTTTGGAAACACAACGTACGTAACTTCCAGTATTTGTAATTTGTTATTTGCAGTTGAAGTTTAACAATTGACTTATTTAAACGTGTTTTTATATCTCTATGATCATCATATTTAATTGGATGCCAAGTATCCTGCTGCAGAAACATGAGATGTCTGTTTTGTATCAGAATCATGCTTGTATTTACAACATTACATATCTATAGTACTAGCATGTTTGTTAGGAGGTTGATATATTGTTGTATTAATTGTTTTCAGATGGTCGGAGGAAAAAGATTGAATTAGAGCCTTGGCGCAAAACAAGAGATTGGAACGAAAAAGTAATGATGCGTGTTATATTTTGATAAAGTTCATTTAGATATTTATTTAAAAAAATCATTTCAATAAAGATTCAATATTCAAAAGGTTAATTGTGATCAAATTTCTCATATTTTTACTCTTGGGTAGCAGGACGTGTTATTAAAGTATATAACTCTATTGGATGTATCTTGATAAAAGTCATGGTACTTTCTATTCGAAAGAATGATGTTTGTAGAAAGGCATTACAGTAATCATAAGAAACAGTGCAACAAACTTATACAGTTTGATTTTTTTAGTTTATTCCGTCATTTTTTTTACTATACATTCTTTAACATAGATAAATATCCACGGTCTTAGCTTTAAGTATTGTCATATCTTTAAATATGGATACGTATTTACGGTCTTACCTTTAAATATTGTCTCATTTTCAAATATGGATATGTATTCACGGTCTTAGCTTTAAGTATTGTTAAAAATTTCTTAGCTTTAGCTGTGGATACGTATTCACGGTCTTAGCAGCAATTATCGCTATCCTATAAAGGTAACCTTATTCAGTTATAAAAGCAACATTGTCACTTTATCTTAAAAACAAAACTGTTACATATGTTATTAATTTCCTTATTGTTTACAAACATAACATCCCAGCTAGATCAATTTTGAAGTTCTTATCTACTTTAGATTATTTCAGTCGAATTCTGATTTCATTTGAATTTATCATTCATTATATATCAAAGAACTTACTTTTTGAATTATTTCAGTTTCTAGACGAGCTTACAGAAGATGTAGTGTCATTTAAACCTTTTCCAGATTTGAACATCTCGGAGGCTCGAATCTTGATGATCGGTCCAGTTGGAGCCGGCAAGTCAAGTTTCTATAACACTATCAACTCCATATTCAGAGGTCGTATTACACAGAGGGCAGGCAGTGGCAGCGCAGAACAAAGTTTAACGACCGCTGTATGGTTTCTTTTTTCTAGTCCTTATGCACCATTTCTAATTTCATAAAAGTTCAAATATATATGTACACTAACTCACCCACTCACACACTCACTGTTGACAATAAGTGATGGTAACTAAACGGGGTTTTCTACATGATAGGTACTCTTAGTAACAATGCAAGAGACAACACGACACTTCGCCGAAGATTACATGGAAAATATTACCGACAAAATGGCTGCTACTCAACGAAAAATGGAGAAAATGAAAGTGAAAAAGTAAAGCGTTTTGAGGTGATGTGATTATAAGTATTTAACTTAAAACTTTACATACGCTATTTTGTAAACATATTGGTGTGAAAGTTCATGTCTTGCTATCTTCATGTAAGTGTTAACTGAATTAAACAAATGAATACATTTTTCATTATGTTATCAGGCTTGAAGTCAGTGACTTTAGAAACACTTTAAAAGGTTGTCAATGTTTATAACTGTTCGGTTTGTATTACAGGTATATCCTGGTGCAGTTCTCTTTATTTCTGAAATGTTTGATCTGCTTCTGAAGTATACATTGTACTGTACTAATATTTTGTATGAATAAAGATTAACCCATTATACGGTATTACAATTTTAGTAGCATTGTTGGAAAAATCACCTATTTTAGCAAGAAACTGACCAGTGTAAAAAATCATGTGCATGGTATGCAAAATTTAACATTTCACTAAACCTTATAGTGGACATTGTCTATGTTTCACATTGATGTCCCTTATGATGTCCTTAATATGAAAATGTTATTAGTGGTCCCGGTGTGATGCACAATCACGGTAAAACAGCAAAGTATGTACATTGGTAATATGTAGCATCGTATTTAACACGTTATTTAAATCATGCCTCAAAGCATGCAGGTTCAAAATTGTCTCCTCCTGGGGTTCACTTAGTTCACACAGACTTAAATAGGAAGCGTATCTAAATTCTTATCTATTCCTCCGAAATTACTTGTCTGATAGCTTAAAGATATATGGCATGCAGCATTGCCTAATGGATATCTACAAACATTGTATAAACAATGCCTCTGATGTCAGACATGACCCGCCGGGCAAGCATAGCTTTAAGAATATTCGGCGACGTTTGTGATGGACTACACCGTTCTGCGATTTACACGTGCAGTGCTAATACTATAAGAATCTTACACTGGCTGTCGGTACAGACCGGAATATCTAGCTCGAGGGTGACTGTTTACGGCGGTAACGAGGCTCAGCCGGGTTTACGCTAAACAGTTACCCGAGAGCACGTATCAATAATTTTCAGAACAGAAATTACGAAAACTAATATTCTCATTACGCACTTTTTTCTTATAGTAGTGTATGAACGTACAACTTTATTCATAACGGTTAAGTGACGTCATCCTAAGAACGCAATTCATTCTTAAAAGGCGCGCAGCAATGACGTCATTTTAAAGCACGCGAATTGTCTTACATGGGGGTGTAAGATAGGGTTTTCTTGCATCTCAGACAGGGTTATCTAACGTTTACATCGGTGCTGGAAAACTCTTTCTTTTCTAACTAACCAGATAGAAAAATCCTTAAATGTTACTAAAAATAGCGGTGTTGGAAAATCTTATCTCATATGGGCTTATCTCACACTCAACGTGCAGCACTTCTAAATAATACGCGATTCACTCCTATTTTAATAAAAAAATGAAACGTCAAAAGGTCAAAATGTATTAAATATTTGTGAGCTAATCTATTAAATTGTCTACGGAATCAAAATAGATTGATATAAACTTTCACACTGCAATGAGTCCTACCCTACCTAGATCCGCCCTTTTCAATACGATCTGTTACTAAAAATAGCACACTTTAAAATATCGAAACATTCTTCGTAAAATCGGATATTATGACGCTTTGCCTGAAAAACATTCATGTTTTTTGTTATGATAACGATGCTTCTTGATGACGAATCTCATTTTGATATATTTTAATTGAATATTCGGCCAAAATAACCGAAAAAGTAGAAAAATCTTTGCAAACGGTAAACGCTTTTTTGTCCGCCATTGAAGTATGGACTGAATTCCTTATAAACACTTATATTATGACACTATCCGTTTTTAATATCGATGTGTTTTATCATGATAACCTTGCTTTTTGATGAGGGATCTTATATGAATCTATTTTCATTAAATTTTTCACACATAAACTTGGTGAGAAGAATTTAACGTACATAATGCTTTTTAATCCTAAGCCCCGCCCCCTACGTTGTAATGCGCGTAGCAAGTATAGATTCACTGATATTTGTGTGTCCAGGTGAGTGAGAAAAATAATCAACCATTGGGTTAGCTAGAGGATAGGGAAATCCCAACCCTCGGGCAATCGGTTCCATCGGGAACTCGCCAAGGCTCGTTCCCGATGGAACCGATCACCCTCGGGTTGGGATTTCCCTATCCTCTATCAAACCCAATGATAGATTCTATTAATCTTACACTCCACATGTAAGACAAGTCGCGTGCTTTTAACGACGTCATTGCTGCGCTTTTTATGAATGAATTGCGTTCTTAGGATGACGTCATTTTACAGATATGAATGAAGTTGTAAGTTCATATGCTACTATAAGAAAATCAAAGCACAGATCGAAGGCGCTGAATTTGTTTGGGTCTCAGAATGTAAGAAAGGTGCAGGTTGTGAGATTATATGTTTAGTGCCACCAATGCTTTCCAGCGTTTTAATTGTAGTAAATTGGCTATAAGACACTTATTGCAACACTGATATGCAATCAAATGTTTATTTGACTTAAACAATTTGAAAAAAAAAAATGAGTTGCCTTTACTGGGATTTGAACTCCAGACCTCTCGCTTTATAGGCGAGCGCAAAAACCCTTCAGCCACAGTGAATATATGTGAACGGCCTGAAGAAAACCATATTATTCTAAATTAGGGCTTGTAACGACTTTAACTGTTGTTTAACACAGATGTAAATAATCCTGGAGCTTACTATAAGCATGTATATTTATAAAGAATCAAAGGGATGCAAGTTCTGTGGTATTTCCTGATCTTTGCAATCTTAATCGTACTGTATATCTGTATGCATTTTCCTGTATAAGTTTATTTTTATGTATTATAATTCATTTTGCAAGGCACCAGAGTTTGATACATACGGAATTCTGCATAACTGGAGATGCATCAAAAAATCATTTATGTTCATTTTTTACAACAGTCACACTTTATCCTTGCATATCATGGCTACTTCCTTAACAAAGACACTTAAAAAAGAATTTAAAAAAAAGTTTTCTCGACTTGGATTTGAACTCCAGACCTCTCACTACTGAAGCGAGCGCGTTACCCCTGCAACACGGAGGAGTTATACAAATAACATCTGAATAACATCAAGTCATTCTAGATTTAGAACTTCCATTGCATTTCGGGTTTGTTATCCTTATTAATTTCGAGGTATTTTGTTCAGGATAAACCTGTTGTTTGAAATTGAAGTAAATAATTTAACGAAAATCTTCTCGCCCAAACAGTCCGACATGTAGAATCTATATATTCCACTACTCGGTTTGTGTAGTATTCGGTAATAGACATCGCTAAAAATAGTATTTTCATTGATAAAATCATATTCATCCGCGTAATTTGTGATTGTGCATTTATTGACAATTCTATTAGCCAACGCTATTTTTAAACTTTGAATGCGTTGTTATTTGTTGGATACTTGTAACAAAATAAAAATATTTCTTTCTTTTAAATCGCTAGTTTTAAGCTGTTTTGAGAACTACTTGTTGTTAGGTTTGTTGTGAACTTCTGTGTCAGAGATTGAATGTCCGCTTTGTATTTACTTAATTTCGATCAGAAAATACAATAAAACAATATTAGAAATCTTCGACCATTCGGGAATTATTTTGCTTGAACATTAATTCGCCTGTCTTTGACCATCTTTACGCAGTGATCTCCCCTGAATTTTTCGGCGTTAGTGTACATATAAAGGGAAGTAACCGCTTCAAAAAAGTGGACTACTTTCGGCGTTTGCAATTAACAACATTAGACTCTGAAATTTCGCTACCATTATTTGTTTGGTCTGACGATCCAAACAAATAAAAAGTACGTAATGAGAATATCAGTTTTCGTAATTTCTGTTCTAAAAGTAATGGATATGTAATATGCAAGAAAAAGAATCAAACAATGACTGTCGGTACAGACGGGAATATCTAGCTCTCGGGTAACTGTTTTGCGGAAACTCGGCAGAACCTCGTTACCGCCGTAAACAGTTACCCTCGAGCTAAATATTCCGGTCTGTACCGTTAGCCATTGTAAAGAATCTTATATTATAGCACCGGTGTAGATAATCCTTTCTGATATGCAAGAAAGAACGCATCTTTACTTTCTTGGCAGTGAGATCCCCATCGGTTTATCAGTGTAGACAGGCTTACACAAAGAAGCACCACAACACAATCTAGGCATTGGATTCACTCACAAGTATAGAATGATATTGTCGTATAGCTGGTTGCACAGGCTAATTAGTCATACATGCTATATTCAAAAAGAATGACAAGTCAACAT